TCTTAGCAATAACATGATCGAAACAATAATCAGTATTCATCAGATTCTTTTAAGTGTTACCAAATTAGACTTGCGTAACAACCGCGTGGAAAATCTATGTGGATTAGAACGGTTATGGTCTTTAGAATATGTTGACGTTAGAGATAATCGATTAACGGATTGGGCAGAAATTGGACGCATGGCGGATCTTCATAGAATAAAGCATATATTTGTGGAAGGCAATCCGTTCACGAAATATCAGGTTGGTTGAACATATTCAATTATAATTGATTAAAACCTAAATTTGAATTCGATAAACGAGATTGGTCAGCAAGTGTATGCATATCATTTTATCGTATTTGGTGCACCAAACTTTGTCGAATTGATATTTATATTAAGTAAATTAGGCTTTATTAAAACAAAAAAAAAAAATTTTTGTTTATTATACATCATTAGCAATCTTACAGAGTCAATATCTTTTCACTCTTTCGTGAAAAAGATAAAGAAATTATATTAGATGGTTCGGGCCCTAGTTACAATGAACGTCGTCATATTACAGTCAGCTCTAAGCCTTTATCTGAAAAGATTCCTGAGGCTATTGTGGGCAATGAAATACACTTGTCAACCAGTCCCGAAGATACGCTCTCTAGCTTGAGGCCATCTAAAAGCCATGCACCCCGTAGAAAAGTTAAACTTGGAAAAGATGAAAATAATAGTGAATCTGATATTGGATCTGATGTAGTGTCGGTTAGTTCAAAATCTGGAAGAAACAAAAAGAAGAAAAGTATGAAAAGTAAGCCAAAACTTGAGAAAAATACATCAAAACACCGGCTTGTGGAAATTGAAAAGGCAGTCGCTGCGGAAAATGACCCACAACTGAAAAAGAAGAAATCACTTAAACTCCGCAACCAATCCTTGGACATGCAAAGACATAATTCGACATCACCTGTTGAATCAGAAATTGTGACGTCCGGAGAAGATTATAGACGAAAAATTGAGGAATTACGAAACGAAGGTGGTTCTTCATGGCTAAGAGTTTATACAGAAATGGAGTATTCAAAAGATGAAAACGATAGATTAAGGGAGCCACCAAGGAAACAGTCTTAGTGATTGTAGCTGATTTAAGCTTAGCCGAGTCGATAGCTTTGATACAGCTAAGTCGTCCTAGTCGGTTATCATCTCAAAAAATTTTAGCCTGATAATAATATAAACTACGATCCGGAAACTCCCATTGGCCGCTCACGTATTTTATGTTTTTTGTTTTTTTTTTTCATTTTATTTTACATAAGGCCAACATAACTCCCGCTTTTTGAAAGCTCGTATAATCGAATACACATAATATTAACAAATCAATTTACAGCATTAGTTATCATGTGTATTTTACATTTTTTTACATTATTTTCAGCCAATAAAATTACAATATTTCATTAATTTGTCTTTCTTTTTTTGATGCCTCACCCTCTTACAAGTTACGTATTTTTTACGGAGAATCTTCAGAATTCTGGTCGGAGATGAATTGGAATTCATCGGAGATAGGCCAGAATTAAACAATAATATCAGCCAGCTCCATTGATAACAAAATTGGGTAATGGACTAGGAAACTCCCTATTTAAAGCAAGTTCTAAACGGCGATTTTTCTAAACCATGACCCAATTAAAACTTTATCTAATGAGTGAGCTATTTCTTCATTAGTAAAAGTTTGACGATTTGGAGCAATTCCAGCCCTTTCCGATGGATTCTGGACTGGAATTTTGGTCAATCTGCTAAATTTTTGTTACGTCAATAATCTATTCTTACCAGTATGAAATATATTTTTCTTTAGTGTTCAAAATGTTATTACTTGATTTTATATGAAAAATTTTGTTTTTGCCCAATATCGTTTTTAAAACAATTTTTTGTTCGTATAATTTATTTTAAAAAATATTTGTAATTTGATATAACATTAATTGACTTTTAAAATAAAAAAAAGATTATAATGTAGAATAAAATTATATAAAATTTGGTGTTGCAAACATTATTTTAATTTGCAATTTTGATTTGTATACTATGTAATATATATGTAGTGTGTCCAACTAATATCTGCGTCAAATTAAAATAACTAGTTTTCTAACGCTAACGCTAACCCTAACTGATGTAAATTTTAATTTGACACAACAAATAAGGTAAGTGTACCTATTGTAATCCAACAAAAGTTATAATAAAATTTGTCGTCACGTGATTACCTACGAAAATTAGCCAATAAAAAATCTTGATTTGGTGTATCAAAAATTCACTTAAGAAACAACTCTTCATGCATTAACAAAAAAATTCCTCGAGTAATTTTATCACCCCCTTAATATCCAACTTTAGTTTAGACGTTAACCTAACATAAACGAACTTAACCAATTTTATCAATTATCACGATATGTTTATGATAAACATCACGTGATTAGCGGATCAGAACTGGATGATTTTAGTACCATTCAATTCGTCTCATTAAGACGAATCGAATGGTACCCAAATCATTCAATTCTAATCACCAGATCATGAAATATCGGGCATCAAAGTTTGTTTAAAATGTTTCTAATTTGATATAGTTAAATATCACGTGTCGTATTGATCAGAGTCGCGAGATTTTGATACCATTCGATTTCTCATCGAGACGAATCGGATGGTACAAAATCTTGCGACTCTGATCGATACAGCACGTGATATTTATCGTAAACGTTTATCCGCGTCAAATTAGATACATCTACCTTGGGCAATTTTGGTTAAATGGAGTGTTTCAAGAACTATCGATCAGAATCACTTGATTTTGGTACCGTTCTATTCGTCTCGATGAGACGAATCGACTGGTACCATATGGGCTGATTTTGGTTGATCCTTGACCTTAAAAATTGCCAAATTGGTTTAATTCTGATCAAAATTGTAAATTATTTGGCTTTAGAAATGAGTTTTAAAACTTATTTCTGAAACTAAGTCAGAATTAAACCAAATTTGGGGTCCCTTAAAGCTCATATAATGATCTACATACCGCATAAATTGTATTCTTGATATATAAATAACTTACTACCTTAACTGTATCAAAAAGGTAACTCTAAAAACACCAAAAACGTAACTTTTTTAAGGACCCTCATGATCAAGAATTATCTAAAATCAGCCTAATATGTCAAAATTATATGATTGTGATCAATATTTCACAAGATATTATCATGTCAAATTAAAATTATATCAAATTAGATATATACATATATGTTCCGCGTCGTTACGGAATTTAGGTCGATCTGGAATTGGCATGTGTTATTTCTCGATTTTCACCGACCTTGAAATGGCCCAGGTCGATTTGTTATGTAGATCATGAGACCGGAATGACCCAAGTACTGTACGGAAACGTAAATTAGGACGGACGTGTAGAAATTATGAAAGTACGTACGGTTTGTAAAAGAAAAAGTCGTAAAACCCAAATTACTTTTCCTATAATCCTAACATGAAAAAAGGACAATACTAGCGCTCACCCTAAC